ATACATACACTGTTTTCTGAAAAATACACAGTAAATGTTACTCACATCCACGGATACTCTTTTTAGTAACAGTGTTTCAGCAGTGTGAATCACTCAATAAAAGTATTGAAATGAATTGAGAAATTCTCAAACGCAAGTTATTTCATCACTCGCCAGAAAAAAATGTCAGAGTGCCATGCTACTCAGCTTAGAGCGTTCTCGGTGAGCACCGGCGTGGCAAGCACACAGCGTAGAACGCACCGAACCGATCCCGTTTGTGACTTTTCATTGGCGGATTCGCCGTACATCTTTGCTTCACATAAAGCACACTCCGAAAATCAAAACAAAGTATCTTACTTAATATTCATTCCGGCACGTTCACTGTCTATTTTTGAGGGCTAAAGTTTCTTCAAAACCCTGAAAGCAGCCCTCAATAAACAACAGCTTAACCAGCACCAGCGTAGCGAACAACAATTTGTTATGCACAGTATCATTGCGCAGTAGTTTCAGTGACGTCATCCATATTCAATGTCATGTGACTGAGTCTCAACAAGTCACAGTATGCGTAACAACAGTGAGACGTGATAAATATAACTATTCCTAAATATATTATATATACTTACTCTGACAGATATGAAATAAGAATGACCTTCGCGTAAAGTCAAATCCTCTGCTGTCCCATATGCATAGTTACTTGGTGTAAACGGAAATATGTCATCAATAGCGGGCGTAGATCCGATGGCCCATTCATAATAGGAAACACCTGAATATAATATTAATACATTTATAGTGTAAATGAAGTTAGTTAAGTGTTGATGGTAAACTATATTTTGCATTTACTCAAGTAGTAAATTACAAAGCGGAAAACTTCTACCCTTCAGAATTGATATTCGTCAATTTGTGAATATTCATGTAAAAACAATCGGATTATTGTCCATTATGTCGATAACATGCAAATATTTTACGTGACCAAGATTAACATATCTCTTATTGCCACAAACGTTTGTTGTCTTTAATAGGCAATACATATTAATTATTTACATAACAAAACATGTGGAATTATCCCCGTTAAAAATACATATTTGTTGCTTGATTCTGTTCGAGATAGTCACATTGTATAACGTCATGACATTATGAAATGTTTGAATAAATCAAAATCCAACTCACCACTTTCTTTGTCATAAAACAACATATTCCAAGCAGCACTGATACTTGTTGTGGAATGGTGATATGTGCCGCCAACGTCAATAGTTACATTGGTTTTTATTGGAATCGAAGTGTCAATTATGACTGCTGATGAAATTGATTTGACAGATAATCCAACAAAATCTATCGCTGTCAATGAAACGATAAGATGCACAAAAGATAATGATTATCCCTGTGAATATATTATGTAGTTACATTGAGCTGTAGGAGCTCCTTAATTACTACGCAGTATAGTTTATATTTATTTACATGTGCCAAGCGCATCTTTAAAGGATTGCTCAGCCTACCTTTTAGTGTGGCATAGTAAGACTGTCCTTGTAGTAAATGTAAAGTATGAGCAACAGCCCAGTTTGTGACTCCAACGTCGACAAAGTCTTGAACGTCCACGCCCCCGAGGAACGATCCTATAAAATGTATTAAATGAGTTTGTCGTTAAACTATTGCCTCAAAAACATTGTGACACATTTATTCTCTAATCGCTAGGTACAAGATTAAAAAATACCTAGTGCGTATTCGTATCTTTGAATTCCCGAGTCGTGAGACATCTGAGCACCCGACTCTTCAATATCAGTAAACCCCATCCAATTTATATACATGTGTGAAGTGGAAGTCTGAAAAAAAAAATAATGAATGAAGTTGATGTCACAATATTTTTAGCGACGTATTCGAATCACTAATGGAATGTTCTGATTATGTACGTTTCTATGTAACAATGACTGACCTGATATTGTTGCCCCACTCTGCCAATCCAAACAGTACCAGCCTCGGGTGGTATCCAGTCAACGGTTACACCATTGGAACATTCAGATACCATGGGCAGTATCTCTACCGTGTCTTCTTTCTCTCTGTGGGTCTCATTTGCATACATACATATGTAATATCTTCTACCATACTCAAGATCGAGATTGTCGATGTTGACGTAGTTTTCCTACAAATAGCAAATGTTGTAGTTAAAAGGGCGTGGTTGAAAAAATAAGAATTACGTACGTATTACAGGATATATTAGTCTTAGTTAACTTACTTTTGTGGAACCACAGGTCAGAACTTCTAATGAGTCACAGAGATATGTATCATAGTTCAATTCCGTGCTGTGTCTAACATATCCCCACTTCTCAATAGACTCGTCCGCAATAACTTTCCATAGGTATTTGTAATGTGTTAGAGTTGGCCAAACGGCTGACAATTTATGTTTCGATGGCGTGTATTCAGCGTCAATTTCAACCCATTCATCATTGACAGCAAGGTAAATATCACTGTGAGGACATTATTGTGAAACAAGTTATTTTAGTTTGCACAGTGTCATAGTGATTATCATTATAGTAAATGTATCCGACTTTAAAATTGGAGACAACAATTACGTTATTTATTTTCCCAGCAACAAAGACTTCACACTTGTTGGTAGAGCATATGCGTCGACAAATAAACACAGCTATGTTATAAACACGGAAGGGAAGATAGTAGTAATCTAAGCATATTATTATATAGTTGAGGTATAATTATGAAACCACTGAATAACTATTCCTTTTCTAGGTCCTTTTCATTTTTTTAAATAATTATTGCATTATTGCATTATTGAGTATTTTATTATTTAACTCAAAGGCTGAAACTTATTTAGTAAAATAATTTGATATGTATTTTAAGAAATACTAAAACAACAACTACGATGGACTGCCTCTTTTTCATGGCAATCATCCGTTCGGCACTTAGTCACGCTGCATAGGGTACCCTTAAAAGTACTATATCTTTGCCGATATGATTAGTTGAATTTTTGCTTACTCCACATCGCCTTCATCATCCCTGTCACCAACGGCATCAATGACTGTATTTGGAGTAATGTACTGTGGATAAATCGATTCACAATCGTATATTTCCTTGTACACTGTAGAGTATAAACCAGCTTTGTTGTTTCCACGTATAGCCAACTGTATACACTCCGAGAAGACTAGTTTACTTGGCAGAAAGACTTGGTGTGATAACTATACAACAAATAACAAAACAAATGTAATTATTAAACATATACTGCAAATTACTCAACCATTCCCCGTGGAATAACTTTGATTTTGTTTATGCCTATTCTACAAATGGGATAAAATATGTCTTTACATAAGTAATTTTACATTTGATGCGTTTTTTTTTAAATTTCTTGCATGAAATGTGGCAGTATGCCAGCCTATGAGATACATAGCGTCAAACGTACTACAAAAACAAAACTCCGCTCATATTCCACAATCGTCAGATCGAGGCTATGTCGTACTCTAATATAATCAAAAGACACAAACAGTACTAGACTGGTAAATAAATGTATATGTCATACACAGTATACACATACCTTCCCATCTACATTTACTGGATCGATAATTCTTTCCCATGGATACAATAAATCCCCGTGGTTTGATGTTCCAGTATCAACAGACAACGTCCATTCATAATATGCCATGTATTCACTGCTGTCAAGATTATTCTCAACTTCGATATTGATGAACTCCATCCAGCTGAATCTTAGTTCTGCTGTATTCCTAGATTGTAAATCATGAGATACCATTTAGAGTATAATATGATACAATAGTGTTAAAACGCAAGTCGAAATGTTCTATATATACTTACTGGTTATATTCAATAGAATCAATTCCTTCTGAAATTGGTGGATATGAAATGACCCAAAATCCATTACTAACAGTCAATTGAAAACATCCTTCTGGGTGGCAGAAAGCTATGGCTGTCCTATAATGAGCACCTGGACTCAAGTCCAAATTAGTTATCTGGACGTGGTTATTTTGAGGCAACCTATCATATACATGCTTGGAATTCCATGTTGAAAATGTCCTGAATAGAATTATTGAAATTAGTATTATGTCTATGAGCCATGCGATCATGATATAAAAATATCGACAACAAAAAATTATATAGTGTTTATCATTTACTTGTATGTGTTTTCTCTCTGTACCATAACCTCGAAATGAGTGATGTAAGGGAATGATTCATTTGGCAGATCCCAATGTGCGTTGATGATAGTTGTGGACGACTGGTAATCAATATCCTCTTCACATCGGAATCTTCCATAATAATCATGATGTTCATCTTTTGGTAATTGTTTTATGTCTGGAAAATATTTTCTGATATTATGCTCTAAACTAATGGCATAATTTAGACACATTACATGAAACAGAATATGTCATATGTGTATAGAAATTATCATAAACAGTATAATTTTACCTTCTGTAGTGCAATCAACTCCATCAAATACCTGAACGCCCTCTATGTAATCACCATCTTGAATGATTAATATTCCATCAGAGCTGACATCTACAAAACCAGATTCACTGGATGCTCGGATTGTCACAAAGTATATCTGTAACATAAATAACAACTAATGATGTTACCATTGATGAATTCTTTCGATTAACAGCATAACAGCGGAGTCATATAATACGCTTAAATGACTATGTGCACTTCATGACATATCACAGAGAAGTCACCTTGCGAGATATCTGAGAAGTAGTATGTCGAAAATATACGGCAAACTAAGAACGGAATAAATCGAATTTCATTAGATTTTGGGGATTTTAAATTTTGAATTTTTAAATTTAAATTTATAAATTCAAGTCACAAAACACCTAGCATTATAGCTATATTCAACACATGTTTCGTAATAATATGTTACTTTGAGTCGTTCTTAAATAAATATATGCTGTATGTGTAAATTAATTAGTATACTGAGAATAATTTATGCAATTATCATGATATAGCTGCGGTAATACTCAGAAATCAGAGACAATTTTCTTTTTCTGCCATGTTGCTCACTTTGTAGTAAAGTGTGTGTTCCTTGATTGTTGTCACCTTTTTCTTTGCTATTAGCAGCGAATAGCTACAATAATAAATATTCAAGCAATAACTATCCCTTATTACCGTTATGCCATCGTTCTTATGTGTTACTGTTGTAACAATGAGCACTCCCCCGTGATAAAGCTAGAGGGCAAAACACGTGATTTAACGACATGATAAGATAACATTTACCTGATTCAACATCAGCTCCAGGTTAAAGGTCGAGTGTTCTGTTTGTGTACCAAGATAAATGAAGTCAGATATATCAGTATCTCCCGGGGAAGTCCCGATTGCTAGCTCATACGTTACAATCTGATTTGGACGGGCGAATCCATACCACTTAGAGTGTATCTCGTTTGCCGTTGACTGGTAGTCTACATCATGTAGAAACTGAAATGGAAATCATACATTGTGATGGTGTTAATATTCAATATATGAATGGTCATCGCATACATCATGTAATCTAAATAGTTTGGCCCTGTAGTCATGGCAACGAGATCAAGCTGTTGCTGAGTGTTTATAATAAAGCGATGCACAGAAAAGCTGACACAGCACAATGAATGTGACTTACCACTGATGTATTTGGATCTACTGTGTCCCATACTACACCAACAATTGGCAGTCCAACTACATGTTTATATGGACTAGAAACTCCAGTTACACTTAGACCACCAATGTTTTTTACTTTGATAGATATGTAGTATATGTGATCACCATGGAGATCCCAATCTAGTGAATCCACTGGAATAGCCACACAGGATGGTTGTATGGTGTTATCGCATATAGGACTGTCAAATGTTTCTATTGATGTAAAATCTAATAACTGTGTTCCATATGGTGTATCACCTATAACAATATACATATATCAATGTTTATTCTCGATGCATTATTTTTTTCATTATGATTAGTATAAAAGCATAATTCTAAAAATAAGCCTTACCAACAGCGACACTGTAATCTGATAATGGTTCTTCATCCTCCGTCTCAACAAAATCATTCTCATTCCATCTTGCTATCAGGTAACCTGAATTAGTCGCGTCATATTCAACATATATTGTACCCGTGAAAACGGGAGGTGTAACGTCAACAATAATGGGTCCAACTTTCTGTAGGAATTAATGATTATTTGACAATATAATACAATATTATATTTAAACTAGGCACGAAGATTTTACACTCATAGACTCGTATACATCATCGGTGATTATTTTGTGAATATTTTGGCTATATTTATAATTTATTACCAAAGAGGAAAAAAACGATATAAATCACAAGCTTCTATGGTGATGTGGCCATTTTAAGACATATGTTCAATAGCCATGGGTTTATTCTTGAAACTAATCTCTTCCATGATACATATTGCTAGGTTCTTTATTGAAGATGTAAAGTCAGTCATTTAGTATTGACTAGATATTTCACCAAAATATTCGCTAAATTTCAACAGTTTCAAAACGATAGAACAGTAATGAAAGATCCAAGTTATTAGCCTCTGACTGTAGTTTAAGTCTTGGGTGAAAAGAACAAGTAGGGGTTCCATTATGCGTAGAAACATGTTTTATGGAAAAACTGTGCATAATGGCTGTCTCATTTGAATCGGCATCTCAAATTAGAATTTGAATTATATGCGTCTTTTGGAAATATTACTGGGAATGCTGTAAGAATACCACAGCCCTCTGTGAAACGTTGAATATATCAACAACAAAACAATTACAATTAATATGTATGTTACGCAAAAATTAATTTTTCATTTTGAAAATAATTTCTTAGCAGCAAGTCTTATTTCAGAACGTTGAGATAACCAAAATAATATCTTAAATTACCAACACCATGGAACACAACTTTGAATTTCTTTCCCTAGAAATACAGATTTAATTTAGAATGCACAATTAACAAATATCTGGAATATATTCTCATCAGTACTAACTAAATATGTTATATTTCACATGGACAACTGAACCAATAATTGTAATTCAAATTTAACATCAATATTACACATCAATTGCCCCTCTATATAAAAGAGGTTTGTGCAAAACTAATGTATTTCAAGACCAATATTTGAAATCACAAACACAATCATTAACATAGACAAATTTACAACTGTAAGAACACAAAACAATCTGACACAGCTATTGGACACCATGTGGTTAAATCAGTAAGAACAAGGTGATATATATCTTATGGTGCACAAATAGTGATGTCAAGCGCTTAAAAATGAGTGAGCACATCTAGCTTCTCATGTGGCATCTACCATATATTACTTCTGTGTCATGGTCACGTTAAAATACCAAATGTCAACAGCAGATGTGTGACATTGATGCTGATGTAATAGTCATTCTTTAATTCAATAGTTGTGATGAAAGTAGACACGGCTACATTAACAAATATAAATATGTAATACAGACCCGGGTATAGCGAATGAGCCGCAAAATTTAGGTAGGCGTGAGTTGCATATGTGTGGGTTGACGATGGTAAAAGAAAAATAGTCTTCCTAACCCTCAGTTCAGTTGATTCCATCATGACAATATAATAACTGAATTTAGGATTAAAAACATATTCCCCAAACTCGACATATGTGTGATGTCAATCATGGACTAACGCAATACATGTTTTAAAAATTATCATATAAATAGAAATATCTTCACAAGTTTATGCGTGTAAGAGGTTTGAAAACAATGTTAATTTCACTAGAGATTTCAACACAAGCACGTATAACTAGTCCTTTTCAGGGACACCAAGCTCTTCTAGTTTGTTTTCCTTTGACTGACAGTATACAATTCGAAATTACTGAAATTAAATAATTAATGCTCGTGTAATGGTTTGTTTTAATGTATTGCACGTGTATACACCGATATCAGACACAGAACCAATGTGATAAAAACAAACACCACTCACCTCTGTTGTTGTCATCATAGCTCCGTTGATTGCCCGAATAAGTACATAGAATTCTGTTCCTTGTTGTAATTGTAGATGGAAAGCAGAGAATTTTGCGTGAGAATGTGTGGCAGTATATGAAAGTATATCAGAAGCTAGTTCGTCTCCCGTGCTACTAAGACCAATCAGATAATCGTATATACCACTTTCTGGATCTCCACCTTGCCACGAAACGGAAACCTGCAATTGGCATATTAATTACCATTGAATATGACAGGGACGATATTCATGTAACGTGTACAGCAAACATAATGTGACAATAGTACTGTCCGTGTAATGAATTACTATACCTTATGCTCATTAATGAGAAAAGCATTATCAGACAGTGGTCTGCTGGCGTTGCACCCTATATGAGGTATATCGCCTTCACCCAATGGCCATAAACTAGCATTGTCTATTAGACGGGCTTGTCTATTGAAAAGACGTAAAGCAATTAGTAAAGTAAATGTCAACTATTTCTCGATCCTAACTTGTATCCCATATTGGTGAACCTGTTATCATAGTGACAGTTCGTCCGTAAAACAGATATATCAAACAACATATAATGGAACTGAACTGAAACCTTCACTGGACGTTGCAGCTGATTATATATATAATTTTATATGATGATTCTTTCTTTCAAAAGTTGACACAAAACTACTACGATTGGTCTATTTTGTGACGTACACATTGCTATTAATAATTTATTGTGTGTCGCGACGTTATAAAACTCATGTGAAGAACACTTCTACTCATCATGGTCACGTGTATGCTAATGATGCTTAGAACAGATGAATTCAAAAGGTGTCTTTTCATTGGTTGACTTTCAATGCATGCTAATCATGGGCATCATTGCAAAGACAAAAAACATGGTGATAATTATGACAGAATAGACTAGTCGTGGACATCTTTCGTCAACAATCGAGATTTTACATATTCGTTCATTATCATATAAAACAATGACATTGTCACGGTCTTCCACTGACCAAACATGCAACAACAAGTTGAATAAGTGCACGTCGTCAGTGGTAATATCAGTCGGTCAACACGTTAACATTGTCGCAAAATTGTAGGTTCTAGTTCTGAAAAAAACAAACAATTTATTGTATTTCTTGATGTTCTGTGATGCAATTTTTCAGGAAGTATTTTAAACCCTAATACGGTGGCAACTTGCGTTTTATAACAATATACCCACATACCGACACTCAACGGCTGAGTCATTAATTCTGTATCTGTATCCATGATCATTAACCATCCACGTCGTGCCATTGCTGTCTTTAATGAGTCCACCATGTAACCGAAGATTTGTAATTCTAATCTCCTCTATTATTGGTTTCGTCAATAACTATGCCATCTGAACATACAGGCAATGATGGGTCTAAGGCGTGATTATAAGCTATAACTGTACAATAGTATTTACCAGGTCCAGGTGCTGTCCAACTGGCACGTGTTGATGTGATATTTACAAACTGTAAACAAAAATCCAAGAAAAATGTAATCGCAATCTTAATGTTCACTGGCGTCACAGTTGTACTGCCTTTTTACCACATTGACCATTTTAAGTTTAAAAATTACAATCTGAGGGAGTGCACTGAGGGGAAGTCAAAGAAATACAATGTGTATTATGCAACCCCTCGATGAAATTCAAAATTGTATGTTGGAATTGAAATGTGAAATCTTTTCCACTTTAACTGGTATTGCATTTTTTGTATGATGTTCCATGGTACCACTCATTTACACGTTATCTCATAGTACCATCAGGGTCTCAAAACTGAAATACTAACCTGATACTTGGTAGGCAGTGTTGTCTTATCATCTACACACATGTCTGCAAATACATACATATACGTCATGATACCACTCTCTTTATCGAAAAATCCATTCCACCATGCATTGATGTTGAAGTCTTGCTGATAATCAATGTCGTTGTTGCCATGACCTTCGTGAACTGTTCCTGCTGTAGGTGGACTTGTGTCGATAGTTATCTGAAAATACAAAATATATTGGAATTGTTTGATATAAACATTTCAATCTAGAACTTATTTAAACAACATCAAGACAATGGTGTTATCGATATCCTACTACAAGTTTTAAACATAGTTTGTATTGATCGTTTGGATTGATCGTCATAAAAACGCATGACATATAATCTTCTGTCAACAACATGAAGCTGATCGGGTCAAGACATTCTATTCACATCCGAGTGTATTTTGAACGGCTCTACAAAATTCGTCATATACTACCTTGTCTCGGACTATCTGATTTTCAACTTGAACACATTAACTACTTAGGTAGTCTGGTTGAATAAGTGAAATTGAGTATAACCAAAGTACGACTGTCAAAACAAATATTATATTTTGTAGAACCTCATGGATGTCTATGTGACTTATGTGGCCACACATTAGAACTTTTACAGAATGCCTGATTACTTATATTGTAATGCAATCATAGGATTTCCACATTTCAGGATGTGTTAGTCTCCTAATATTTCTTTGCGACATAGGTATGAGCTGAGACTGTTCATGTAACTAGATAGAACAGACCGTGCCACACAACGGGTGTACTAATAGTCTATGACACGATAGCGTAATAGTCTGAACAAGTCTAGAGAGCTGTGCATGAATAATTTCTTATTTCAATAAATAAATGTAAATAAATATGTAACAATTGATACAGTTGCGGAGTTTAGTTTGAAAATTATAGTATATGTCAATGAGATTTTGTAATATTCGAATTCGAATTAACTTTGTTCTACAAGAAACAACTCTTGTAGGTGGATAGCATTGTTTCATACGACACATGTACTATGCAATACAGTTAATTCACTGACCGACAGTATACCCACTGGAATGACAACGAGTTTATCTTTGTACCTGAAAGTGATTCTTTGACACAAGAAACGCATTGTTTCTAACAGTAATAGTGATTATGTAATCATAGTCATGGGTACCAGCCGTATAATTAAAATCATTTTGATTCATTCTTATGGCATATTCTGTATCATAACACTCCCCCATTGGAACGCATATACAGGATGGAACTTCACACGTGTCATTCTGCAAAACAAAACAATATTATCATGCTCGTGTATCATGTATTAGTGCACCAATGGCAGATAAAGATGTATTTCTATTTATACAGGAATTTATGTCTCTTCATACCTGTTCCCGGACAGCTACTGTACCACTATCAATTATCTCAGACATATCTGCCATATCGCTTAGTTCCCATTTAATATCAAAGAGTCCACTATGTTGATCATACGTTTGGAACGTCACACTGAATAAAGAAAAAGACAAAGAGTAAATAAACGCCCACGAGCCGTCATAATCACCTATGTTAGATAAAGTAGTGAACGCACACATTCATATGAACAAATAATAAGCAAACAATGTTTACTTCATATCGTAGAGATCCACTGAGTCGTGTACTGCTAGTTGTTTTACTCCGTCTTTTGTTAGTCCTACATCAAATATATTAGGCGGAGAGGAATCTACATGAATTAATACTTCATCCACAGCAGTGTTGCCAATGATGTCATAAGATTGGATCCATACACGAATGGAATCTCCATCTACCCTTTCAATATCGAAATATTGTTCTTCGATCTGTCATGACAAACGACAATAATTCAACAAATTAAATTGATATTTGAGTTTGCATTTCATAAGTCAGTAAAATAAGGTGGTTCTCGCGTACTTACTGGAAAATTTTGGACATCCGACCACAGATCGGGAGGTTCAATAAGACTCTCCCCTCCTTGATGATCAAGTGCGTAAACTGTTTCAGTTTTGACAATGCCATTCACCCCAGGTATAGCTTCACGTGATCTGATCGTCGGCGGTTGTCCAGTCTTTTCTTCATAGGGTTCGGGAATGTCCGGAACGTGTGCTGCTATGGAACCCAAAAAACTGTTTACATCGTGATGAGTATTGCGGAAGTGATCATTCCATACAATATGAACCTGAAAAATAAAATGTAAGAGTTTCAATTTGAGTGGGACTATTGATAGTATGTCATGCTCTGACTAACGCGTTATTAACTTTGTAGTTCAGTGTAGAGATACGCTTATATCGTGTATAGAGTACCCACACTAAAAAAGAAAATGGTTAACCAATTGATATTGTACCTGTTTTCCATTGTGGGTTTATCCTGTAGATCAGTTTGCCATATGTCATTGTTACTTGGATTTGTTATAGCGGACTCAACTACGATAGGTGATTCTTTATTGTGAATGGTAACGACATTTTCATTGTCAAATGTTATAAATCGTCGTGCATTGCAATAGCTTCCCGCCACGTCATCCACCGTTAAGAGGACACAGTATACTCCTAGATATATACATATAAAGTTTATTTATACCAATCTGAGCAAACCATTTCAAC